CTATGCAGTAGAGGCACATGATATTGATTTAACAATAAAGGCCAAACACAAGTTGGTTACTGGTTGTGGTCTCATTTCGCCTCCAACTGCCCATTTGAAGAAGAAAATGGAAAAAGCACGTGGATTTCCATTCTTTTTTTTATTCACACGGAAAAACAAAATAATGCATTTAATATTTGTTTATCCTGTTATAAAACTAACAAGTTGAACACAGCTGTGGGCAGAGGGAACAGGCACCGCAACATATGCTCAGTTTGCATCAGTCATTTATTCATTTGAGCGTTGTTGTATTGCCAGCCTTTAGTAATATCATTAATTCATTTTACTACTTGGGATTCAGACAGGTGAGTGTGAGCAAACATTCTCAATGTGACAATTTCGTTTCAGTTTGTGGCTGGCAGCCTATATTCCTTTTTTTATTCCGACCTTAGTAATTAAATAATATCTTTCACCGTGTTGTCCACGTTTATATATCCTGCATGAATCAACACGATGAGAACGTACGCCCCATATGTTCTCATCATGTGCATTTTGTAGTCCATCTTCAGAACATTGTAGTTTCACCACAGCAACCCACGTCAATAACATCCGCCGTCGCATGATGACGTAGCCCAGCGTAAGTGCTGTCTGATTTTCTCAGCTCTGCGGTTCTCTTTTCCTAAGTCCTTATGAATTCTCCTACTCATCTTTCCTTGGCCTTGTGACGTTTCCCACCGAGGTCAAGGAATAGTGATTAGGAATAGACGATAGGAGGGACTTTCCGACCGCAGCCTAGGAGACAAAGTCAGAGTAGAGTTGAGAGGTCAGAGGTCGTACCTGTGTGTCCTTGAAGTTTCTGAACGATCTCTTTGGTCTGAAGGTTCCAGATGTAAACCATACTGTCCTCAGAGCCCGACACGATCCACTGAAACACACAGGTCAAAGGTCACAGCACCCCAAACACAGAGGTCAAAGGTCACAGCACCTGAACCAGCGGACTTTGAAGGGGACAGAATAAATATTTTAACATGAGGTCTTACCTTCCCTCCTGTGACTGAGAAGTTGGCGAAGATGCAGTACTTCTCATTCTTATGGCCCGAATACGTCTTCAAACACTGAGACACCGAGAGGACAGAGACAGATGGTTAAACTACTGAGGACAGACAGACAGAGACAGACTGAGAGACAGAGACAGACAGAGAGACAGTACCTTTCCCTTGCTGTAGTCCCAGAGCTTCAACGTGCTGTAAACCAGAGAAATCAGAGTAAGCTATAAGAAAAACAGTGAAACAACAGCTAACAGCTGTTAGCAAGAAGTTAGAATGACACGAGCTACATGACTCGGGCTAAAGGTTAGTAAGGTTAAAAAAAAAAAAAAAGCCAGCTTAATGTGTATAAGGCTAAAATGATACTAGCTAAGAGTTAGTAAAGCTAACATGACTGTAGTTAAATGTTCCAAATGTCCAAATGAAGCTAGCTACATGTAAATACGGCTAACATGACACTAGCTAAGAGTGGGTGAAGCTAACATGACTGAAATTAAGAGACAGAAAGGCCAAAATTAGGCTAGCTACATGTAAATAAGTCTAACGTGACCCTAGTTAAGAGTTAGTAAAGCTAACAAGACTTAAATTGAGAGTTTGAAAGGTGAAAATGAAGCTAGCTTAATGTAAATAAGGCTAACATAAAGCTAGCTAAGAGTTTTTGGTTTATATGCCCCTACCTAGTGTTCGTGAGGTAACCTGAAGCGAGGTAAGTGTTAGCATGGCTATAATAACACTCGTTATCGGAACAGTTGATGATGTAACCCAGAGGAAGGGGTTAATGAGTAACAGTCTCTGCTCAGAGCAGCACTGACGGACAGACAGACTGATGAACACATGAACTCTAAACTCATTTTAAACAGAAAACTTGAAACATGTGAACATTATAATCTCTACAGTTGCTAACAGTTGCTAAGAGCTGCTAACAGCGGCTAACAGAGGAAACACCCTCCTGCTGATGAGGTCATCGTACTGACTTGTCCAGTGTAGCAGCGAGGATGTATTTTCCATTTGGAGAAAACTTTACAAAAGACACTGGAGGATTGTCGTCATCTGAGGACAGACAGAATACACTGTTAGACACTGATCACAGGTCTGAGGACCACGAGTCATTATCTCTGTCCCTGGAGACGACAAAGACATGTCTGTCCTCCTCAAGTCACATTTAGTCTTTCTGTTTCTGTGGTCAAACATAACCTCAACCTGGATTTACTTGTCAATTTTTTGCTTGTTTGTCTGAAGCCCTGAACACACTCCGCAAGAACAGAGAAATGTGTTCTTTCTCTCCAGGTGGCAAGAACAAGAACTAAGAACTAAGAACTTCAAGAGAAACTCAAGTGCAGAACTCCTGGGAAGTCCTCATAGGCCCCTCCCACTGCCGCATGCATCACACGCGGTTTCCCCATTAACCATGCCCACTTCAAATTTCTGACCAATCACACAATAGTTCTTGGACACCACACAAGAAAAAAAGTTCTGCCCAAGTGACGTGTCGAGAACAAGCTGCAAGAACTCCCAAACCAGCCCTGTTCTTGCCACCTGGAGAAAAAGAACAAATGTCTCTGTTCTTGCGGAGAACGTAAAGGCCTTCAGCCACCTGAGGGGGCGTGTCCCGTCTGTGTCTGATTGACAGCAGCTCGCCGACTGACAGAGCACTGGTGTTACAGCTCATGGAGCAAGAGAGCGTACACTAAGTAAACTAACTTGCACTATAGCTGACTGTCATGAGCATGTGATGATGTCATGAGAATCATGACATCAATCAGATCAGAATTTTGTCTCAGAGGACACAGGAGGACACAGGAGGACAGATCTGTTCCTGCAGCACAACATGTACTGTGTCATGGTTCAGGCTGAGTCGACCATTAAAGGGGCGTTCTGTCACATTTACTCACCAATCAGAGTCTTCAGACACTGTCCTGACGCTGTGTCCCAGATACGACTGCACACACACACACACACACACACACACACACACACACACACACACACAACAATTACCCTTATATTCTACAGCAGGATGTGCTTCTATGTTACTGTGTGTGTGTGTGTGTAGACATACCAGAGGCCGTCATAGCTGCTGGAGACAATGAGCGAGCCGTCTCTGTTGAAGTGAACCTGAAAACAGGGTCAGAGGTCAGAGGTCAGAGCATGTGATGACATCACAGTCAGGTATGTGAAGCGTCACATGTATAAATCCCATTAATCATATCTTAAAGCAGGACAGGGTCAAAGGTCAGGACTTACAGCAGAGACAGGGTCAGAGTGAGCAGGCAGAGTCTTCAGACATTTTCCGGTCTTAACATCCCAAATACGAACGCTCTCATCAAACTGCACACACACACACACACACACACACACACACACACACACAAACAGTCAGCTGTAACAGAACATGAATAACATGATGTCAGTGTGAATGCTGTGAGTGGGTGAAGCAGCGTACCGATCCGGACACCACCAGGTTGGACTGAGGGTTGAAGTTACAGCAGAAGACGTAGTTACTGTGTCCCTTTAGAGTCTTCAGACACTTCCCCTGAAGAGACAGACAGACAGGCAGACAGGCAGACAGACAGACAGGCAGACAGACAGACAGACAGACAGACAGACAGGCAGACAGACAGACAGGCAGACAGACAGGCAGACAGGCAGACAGGCAGACAGACAGACAGGCAGACAGGCAGACAGGCAGACAGACAGACAGGCAGGCAGACAGGCAGACAGGCAGACAGACTCAGTGAGTGTCTGTTAACATCAACATGGTGAACTTAAAATCCACTTTAATAAATGAGTGAATGATGATTCTGGTCTCTACATGAGACTAAACTAATGAACCCAAGGTGATATGTAAACTCATCTTCATTGGTCGACTACAAACATGACGTATCATGTGAAACATGGAAGTAGCTACATGCCCATTAGCCCACAGCGTCATTAACAGGCGGCTCGCTCAGTGTGTGACGTGCACTTGGAGATAAAATATAGGCCTATATTAATGAAGGTTCATTAGTACGGTTTGTATTTCTCTGTAATGTAGCACAGTGTTAACAATGTTACTGATACTATTCTTTCTCACACCTTCAACTCAAACCACCAAAATATATCATTTAATCATTACATTCATATCAGAAACATGCAGGAGACTAGTCCACTGATGGACCCTGATGAGGACTGTTGGTCCACTGATGGACCCTGATGAGGACTGTTGGTCCACTGATGGACCCTGATGAGGACTGTTGGTCCACTGATGGACCCTGATGAGGACTGTTGGTCCACTGATGGACCCTGATGAGGACTGTTGGTCCACTGATGGACCCTGATGAGGACTGTTGGTCCACTGATGGACCCTGATGAGGACTGTTGGTCCACTGATGGACCCTGATGAGGACTGTTGGTCCACTGATGGACCCTGATGAGGACTGTTGGTCCACTGATGGACCCTGATGAGGACTGTTGGTCCACTGATGGACCCTGATGAGGACTGTTGGTCCACTGATGGACCCTGATGAGGACTGTTGGTCCACTGATGGACCCTGATGAGGACTGTTGGTCCACTGATGGACCCTGATGAGGACTGTTGGTCCACTGATGGACCCTGATGAGGACTGTTGGTCCACTGATGGACCCTGATGAGGACTGTTGGTCCACTGATGGACCCTGATGAGGACTGTTGGTCCACTGATGGACCCTGATGAGGACTGTTGGTCCACTGATGGACCCTGATGAGGACTGTTGGTCCACTGATGGACCCTGATGAGGACTGTTGGTCCACTGATGGACCCTGATGAGGACTGTTGGTCCACTGATGGACCCTGATGAGGACTGTTGGTCCACTGATGGACCCTGATGAGGACTGTTGGTCCACTGATGGACCCTGATGAGGACTGTTGGTCCACTGATGGACCCTGATGAGGACTGTTGGTCCACTGATGGACCCTGATGAGGACTGTTGGTCCACTGATGGACCCTGATGAGGACTGTTGGTCCACTGATGGACCCTGATGAGGACTGTTGGTCCACTGATGGACCCTGATGAGGACTGTTGGTCCACTGATGGACCCTGATGAGGACTGTTGGTCCACTGATGGACCCTGATGAGGACTGTTGGTCCACTGATGGACCCTGATGAGGACTGTTGGTCCACTGATGGACCCTGATGAGGACTGTTGGTCCACTGATGGACCCTGATGAGGACTGTTGGTCCACTGATGGACCCTGATGAGGACTGTTGGTCCACTGATGGACCCTGATGAGGACTGTCGGTCCACTGATGGACCCTGATGAGGACCGTCGGTCCACTGATGGACCCTGATGAGGACTGATGGACCCTGATGAGGACTGATGGTCCACTGATGGACCCTGATGAGGACCGGTGGTCCACTGATGGACCCTGATGAGGACTGTTGGTCCACTGATGGACCCTGATGAGGACCGTCGGTCCACTGATGGACCCTGATGAGGACCGCCGGTCCACTGATGGACCCTGATGAGGACCGCCGGTCCACTGATGGACCCTGATGAGGACCGTCGGTCCACTGACGGACACTGGTGAGGACCGTCGGTCCACTAGGGACAGTGTCAGTCAGGGGGGCAGCCCCCGAGACCGATTAGACGTTGTGCACGTGCTGCATTTTTTGTGCCCTAAAATTCATTGTTTTTAATGCAGCAGGCACACTCACACGCCACAGCATCACTGCTGGTTATGTTCGCTTAGCAACCTTTTTAAAGATATTTTTTTGGGCATTTTTAAGCCTTTAATTGATAGGACAGACAAGTGTGAAAGGGGGAGAGAGAGAGAGAGAGAGAGAGGGAGTGACATGCAGCAAAGGGCCACAGGCTGGAGTTGAACCCGGGCCGCCGCAGCAATAGCCTTGTACATGAGGCGCCTGCTCCACCACTAAGCTACCGACGCCCCAACCTGCCGCTGCACTCTGAAGAGCTGGCAGAGAAAGGGCACCAGAGCAGCACCCAGCACCCGACCTAATGTTTTCCAGGAGGTTAAAGATGCAGCGTGTGTACGTTCCGTTGCAGCTGTGAAACGTTTATTAAAAGTGTCTCAAACACAATTTTTTTTATAATTGTCATCCCAACCAATCAGAGAGCTCCATTTACACAAACAACAGTGTGTGTCTTGGTGTGTGTGTGTGTGTGTGTGTGTGTGCGTGTGTCTTACAGAATTGTTGTCCCAGATCTTGAGCGTTTTATCGTCGGATGCAGAGACCAGCAGGTTGGAGTCTGAAGACCAGGAGACATCAGAGATTCCCTACACACACACACACACACACACACACAGAACCAGGATCAGGACAAGTTCCAGTGTAAATCCAGACTGGGTTCAGGATCAGAACTGAGGCGTCTCACCAGTTTGTGTCCAACGATGGATTTCTCAAACTTCCCGTCAAACGCTCCCCAGATCTTTATCAGCTTGTCAGCAGCTGCACAGAGACGTTACCATGGTTACTGCAACCTCACAGCATCACAGCGTGGAGCATGTGACTCATCAGAGCTCACAGGTTCACTGATCATGTGTAACCTGTGTGTGCCCCGTCTCAAGGTGTGAGTGAGTTTATTCTTCAGTCAGGGTGGATGTTTGTGCCAAATTTGAAGAAATTCCCTCGAGGCGTTACGGTCTGTCTCGGCCAGGACTCTCTTTAAAAAGAGATTTTTAATCTCGAAAGTTTTTTTCTGGTAAACTAAAGGTTTAATAAATAAATTAATAAACGATGAGCATGATGCGTCTGGCTGCAGTTGACGCTGCTGCAGAGGCGCAAACAGTAAATCTGCAGGTCCTGACTGACGAGGTGCCAAGAGACATTTCTCTTGAAGGTGTCAGAGAGAAACCATATTTAGGTTTCTGCTCTGAGATTTACACGGTTTCTTTTAGTCTGCGCAGGTTCAGCAGCTGAAAAAGCTGCGTGATCCTTCTGTGAATTCACCGGTCAGTGTTTTACTGTGATGACACATATGATGACATCATCACCTCCTCTGACCTGTCAGCAGTCAGGTTTGTCGGTCTCAGTTTCTGAAACATCTGCAGGTTTCACCACACGACATTCATTCTTCGAAAAAAGGAAAAGGATAAACACCGGGATCCTTTTCTTTACCATCGCTGAGTCATGTTAAATATTAATTAACACTTTATCTTGTGATTTCCTGATAATGTCCTTGAACGCAGCACTGAGAGGACACTTCACTGTACAGACAGAAGGTGGAGCTGATTTTAGACACAGTGGAATATTAAATATTACACAGTAAAGGACCAGGGATGCACTGTATTGGATTTTTTACCGATATATAACAACTCATTTGGCCGATAACTGATACAGATATATCCACTGTTTCAGTGATCATCATCAAGTCTCTTCTGCAGATGAATTAACATCATATTATACACACAGACTATGATGGTGACGGAGACATGAGACACTGTTCAGCGTCTGTAATATTAATGTTGGCTGATTCTGATCGTTCACTTTCAAGATGATATCGGCCGATACTGATGACGTATCGATATGATTGTGCATTCTGAACAGACAGATGTGAAAATGTTGATTTGAGTCCTGAATCTGCTTCATCATCACACAGACAGAGACTACAGGACATTATAATGATGTCATAATCTCAGACACAGCTCTGCTTGTGTCAAACTAACTCCACCTGTTTCTGATGACAGACTCCCAGTTAGAGCAGGTGTATATGTGTATGTGTGTGTGTGTGTGTGTGTGTGTGTGTGTGTGTGCTCACAGGAGCTTGCGAGCCACTCTCCGTTGGGGCTGAACTTGACAGAAGAGACGGCCTTGGTGTGTCCGGCCAGCGTGAACTTCACTGTGTAGTTTGGTTTGACTGGGTTAGACTGCAGAAGACACACACGCACACACAGAGGAAGTTAGTGCAGACACATTTTACTGTCACCTGAGAGTCACACACACACACACACACACACACACACACACACACACACAACCTCACCTGGAAGATCCAACACCAACAGCATCAAACCATCAAAGTATTAATATCCTGTGTGTGTCACTCTGACAATCACAAACCTCAGCTGACTGATGATATTATTACAGTTCACTGAAATACAAAACTAAAACATTAAAGACAGAATTAGATGCTCAAACAACAACAGTTATGTTAAAATGACGTGACATCCTGTCAGACGAAGGTCATGTGACACATTTGTTTAGTGTCTGATGAACTCAAACTGACGTCACTGTGTTAAAGTGTTCAGTGTGAGCTGAGGTCAACAGAGACCTGATTACTTACTCTGTTACTGATCTTTGTTGTGTTTACAAGTTAAGCTGTGTTTATGTGTCTCTGCAGAGACACTACAGCTGAGTCTCATCTTAAAATCAACATGAAGCAGCTCGAGACAGATACCTGCATCAACACTTCATAATTAATAATCATCATGACGTAATATCACAGAGCCGATGGAGAACATCAGTGAAGTGTAGATGATGAAGCTCTGCTGTTCATGTGAACACACAGATCACAGTCACCTCTGTTTACAGCTAAGTGACCAGCTAACCTTTAGCTAACTCAGCGTTCACCGGATCACCGGACTAACCGGACCGGCTGTCCCGGTGTCCAGACCACCGTCAATCCGGCTGGCTCACCTTGCTGCCGGACCCCGAGGAAGACGAAGGCTGTTTGATGTTTTCTGTCTCTGGTTTCTTCTCCTCTGTCGCCATGTTGTCCAGCTAGCTCCTGTTAGCTCCTGTTAGCTTCTGTTGGCTCTGCTCTGGTTCTCTGCTGCTGGAGCGGAGCTAAGTTAGAGCTAGCCGCCGATGCTAACAGAGCTAACTGTAGCTAACTGTAGCTGTTCCGGGTCAGAACCGGCACCGTGTTAACGACCTGAACCGGGTCTGGACCGGGTCTCGGTGCTGGATCGGACCGTAACAACAAACGAGGGATAGCCTGTTAGCTTCAGCTAGCTACAAAACCAGAATGTGCTGTTTCGCACGTAGTTGCTCTACGCATGCGTGACAGAAAGATTACAGTCAGACGGCGAATGAAGAGGGTCAAAATACAGAACAAAATAAAAGTAATTTAAATTAAATAACACAACGTGAAATAAAATAAAGTAGACACAGAGATGGGCAGTATTTCTATTGTATTTAAAATACTCAGAATACTTTCTCCACGAATCAAAAACAAAAATAACAGGCTACACATTCTTATATTTTTTACCTTTTTTTTCTCTATATATATTTATCTATATGTTTTTTTAAACTTGGGCCCTTCAGTGACCCAGTGGTCTGTTTTACTGGACTGTGCATAACATAGGAAACTGTATGTTGTTGTGGTTGATGCTTGGGATGAGTATGCTACAAATGAACTGCCTCACGTGGGATCAATGAAGTTGTCTGAATCTAAACCTGAATCAATAAATAATATTTTAGGGTAGCCTACACCAAACTGTGAGAAAACAAGTGCAAATTTACAATAGCTGCGATCAAATTTGCTACTATCACGCCATTAATGGATGAATCGTGATTGTTGTTTCTGGTATAGTTACTCATGGTCTCTAATTGCAGCATGTACATTTTGAGCATTTGGACCGACCGACCGACAGAGTGACCTGTAGAGCTGCAGGTCGCTGCTAAAAGGAAAAAGAAAAAAAGTATTTTCTGAATTTGAAAATACAAAATACATGTATTTTATGTTGAAACATTTATTTGAGGGGTATTTTGTATCAAAATACATTTTGATGTATATTTGCCCATCTTTGAGTAAACATACAATTAATACAATAGAATAGCTTTAAATAATATAAAACTAGAAAACAATAAATATAATGACATCAAACAGAAATAAGTAGAGTGCAGTTTCACATCTCACAAGGTTGTTTTTTACCTCGGAAAATACTGACTGTATGTAAATGAACATTAATAGTGACACACATGATCAGTGACGTGCGACATAAGGCAGGTGTCATCGTTTTATCAGGACGTGGTTTTCTCTTCCTTTAAATAAGAAATCACAAGTGCATCACAAATAAACTGAACTAAACACATGACAGTAAATGGACCTGCATTTGTATAGCACCTTTCTAGTCATCTAGTGACCACTCAAAGCGCTTTTTACACTACGAGTCACGTTCACCCATTCACACACTGGTGGCCGAGGCTGCCATACAAGGTGTCACCTGCTACTCAGTTTTAACACACTCACACACCAATGGAACAGCCATCGGGAGCAATTTGGGGTTCAGTATCTTGCTCAAGGATACTTCGACATGCAGCCTGGAGGAGCCTGGGATCGAACCGCTGATTTTTCGATTGGTGGACGACCCGCTCTACCTCTGAGCCACAGCCGTCCCCTAAATCATACAAACTTTTTTATATTAAAAAAAATAATCACTGATTTTTAGTTTTATTTTGTGGTCTTTGTTTGGAGCCACGTAGGAGTGACAAAAAAGACGCTGATCAACAGAAAAGCAGCGACCTCAATATAAAGATGTTTTTGACTTGACTAGTCAATGTTTTCATTTATTTTAGCAACTAAAAAGTTCTACAAAGGAGAAGGACGTGATGATGTTCAGGAGGCTGTTAGTTAAAAAATGAACAAAAGACAGAAAAACAAGTGAAACTTTATTTTATTTCCTTTGAAAATATATTTTTTAAATCAACAGCAGCAACATGTTTGAACATGTTTGAACATGTTTGTAGGTGTTAACGATCGATCAGCAGGTTCATTTACAGACGAATCAATCATAAGCCTTTTACACCTTTTATTAAACCAACAGAACATCAGACGACATTTTCTGTTCTTAACTTTTCCTCCAGACATGTTTTATAAAATATTATAATTTGAATAATAAATTTCTATCAGACGTTGTTTTTTCCAGAAAAAAGTGCAGTGACCTCGTTAAAAGTTGTGAAATTAAAATCTCCTCGATCATTAAAAAATGAGTCTGAATAAAAATATGTTTCAACACAACAGGTGTTTGTGACCTGCAGGCTTCATACTGGACTCTGATTGGCTCCAAACACGTAGTGATGTCATAACTCCTGCAGGTGCGTCCAGGTGTTAAAGAGAGATTAAAGGTGAAACACGAACTTTAAACTCAAACATCAATTACGCCGTCTGCGTCATGAGTCCAGAAGAAGAAGAAGTGCTGCACATGCTCAGTGTGTTCTACCTTCAGTCTGTGGTCAGGTCCAGGACCAGGTCCAGGATCAGTTCTCAGTGAGTCCCTGCAGAGGAAACCAGCAGCTGATGATGACAGCAGTGACTGACCCCGCCCACCTCCACCCACCATTACACAGCGACCAATCACAGCAGGCGACCGAGACTCCAGGAAGTTCTGTCTGCTGACAGTGACGAGACGTCGCACAGCCCCGAGACAGGACCAGGTCCAGAGACTCTGCAGACACACAGAGGAGGAAACATTTGTTGTTGTTGTGGCAACTACAGAGATAAAGTTGATGAGCTGCGGGAGAGAAGTGGAGGCTGGACTAATGAGGAGCGTTATGACCATTTATGGTTGAACGTGGGCGTGGAGAGGGCGGGGCATGAGGCTGGTGCACGTGTGGACATCTCCAAGTTGATTTGGGATTTATAAAGGTAGACTGCAGACTGACAGGTGCACACATGGTTTTATTCATCTGAATATTTTTGGCATATATATCTTTCCTCATTTGTACGTATGCTAACATTTAGTTTTATAATTGAGGCCGCAGGTCAGCTGGAGGAGCGCCGCGCTTTGAAGCCAAATTTGGTAGTGGCCAAACAGTGGTACTGCATGTCCACGCCTGTCACGTGACGCCCCACAGACGTACACTGTGGAAGAGACGTCTGACGTCTGTCAATACCTGGACACATTTCTTTGAATGTCATGTGGAGAAATGACCGCTGGTGAGGTACTGACCGCTGTACGTGGTGATGCAAAGGCGGAGTTTGAATCCTTTCTCTGTTCGACTGCAGTTGATGACTTCTGGTTGGCTGCAGCCCAGCTCCACGTAGCCACGCCCCCGACCACGCCCACCACCTACATTACAGCCAAAACACTGCAGACAGCCTCCTGACAGACAGACAGACAGACAGACAGACAGACAGACAGACAGACAGACACACAGACACACAGACAGACAGAGTTCAGTTATTTCCACACTGAAACAATCCTCTGACTCTGCGACACATTAACTCTAAAAATGAACACATGAAATAATGAAGACATGAAGACATGTCGATGTGAGCGTGTCTGAAGTGGGTCATGTGAGGCAGAGTGTGAGCATCAGTGTCAGACAGGTGTGTAAAGGTCAAAGGTCAGCACCTGCGGCTCTGTTAGTGTCTGATGCTAACACTGAATCACATTAACATTTAGACTGAGAACAGCCGCAGGTCAGTCCTTTCAAAATAAAACACCAGGCAACAACAAACACACACACACACACACACACACACATCATCACTTTAAACAATAATAAACACATTAAACATCAACAAACAACCAGCTGATGTACACATCATCATCATCATCATCATCAATAATTATGATGAAATATAATGAGGTCTGTTCATGTTTCTGAAGACGTGAATAAGAACAGTTGTTAAAGCTGATGATGATGAAGAAGTGATGAAGAGGTGTGATGAAGTGATGAAGGTGTGAGTGTCCCTGTCTTACCTTGGAGACAGATGAGAGACAGAGCAGTGAGACAGCAGAGGAGTAGCTGAGAGGACGACATGATGAGAGACACACTGAGACACCGACAGCGCGCTCTCTGTCCTCGACCTGAACGCTGAGTCGTGATTGGTGGAGCCTGCAGACGAGACTCAGGGTTCATCTGCTCTCTCAGACTCAGTCCGTGTGTTCACATGCAGCAGATGAACACATGAACGCAGCACCAATGCTCCTCAGATCTGATCATAAAACATTTTACTGAACTCTGACCATAGGTCAGTGACACAACCAACACGCTCTCATCCCAACTCATCAGATACTGACACTGTGTCAGTCGACACGTGACGCTCTGAGTTTTGGACATTCAGGGACGGCGTGTCGATTTACTCTCATTACATGCATTGTGTCTTTTCAAAGTAAACTTACAGCGTCAGTAAAACACGTTGTTGTAAGGTTTATTTCCTGAAGTTTAGGCAACAGAAGGTCACATTTAGAAATACACATCATGTTTGGCTTAAAACATTTGTTTCCAACTGGTGGGTCACAGATCTGTTCAGAAAGGACCACAAGTGACTCGTTAATGCATAAAGTTTGTCAGAAAACAACCTTATTTTGAAGTACATTGAATTTCCAGCACAGAGCTTTTATTTTGAAGAGTCATTTCCTGCTGTACAGTGATTGACAGACAGATACTTTGACTAGCTCGATGACATGGCGACACTGAATCACAGACTGTATGCCAAGATGGACGACATGACTGATCTCCTGCTGAAGCCAAAACATCTGGACCGCCCCCTGCTGGCTGGCTGCAGTACAGCTCATAAACTCCGCCCCCTTCACGTCAGTGGACAGGACAAACTAAAGACTCAGAGAACACGTCAAGTCATTTTTAGATCATTTTAATCACGCTGCTGTTTGTTTTTCTGATCACTTTGGTTTTAATCAGTTATTTAAAGCTGTAAAAACACGACTGACAGCTGTGTGAGCCAATCAGTGGGCTCACATTCAGTGGCACTGTTTGCAAGTGGTCCAACGAGTGCATGGGTGGGAAACTTGATGTCATGGAGATCACTACTGCACAGACTTTGGCTCCGAATGACATCACCAGCAAAATGGCAGCAGCTGTATGTAGGATATTTTAGCTTCACTTCTGTACAGCGGGAGCTGAATGTGTTGAACTACAGACCAGAGAGAGATCTGGACCCTGAGGCCGGACCAGTTGGAACCAGCAGCTTAAAATATGAATGAATGAATTTTTATCATTGTGTCATGCATGCAGTCACGCCCAGCCCACATGGGCTTACAGGACACCATACATTCAGAGCGAGCCAGCATCAGACTCATCCATTCATTCATTTTCTGTAACCACTTATCCTGTTCACAGGGGGGCGGAGCCTATCCCAGCTGTCACTGGGTGAGAGGCGGGGTTCACCTGGACAGGTCACCAGACTGTCACAGGGCTGACACACAGAGAACCATTCACACTCACACATCCTGTTCAGACTGGCTTCAGTCTGTGTCCTCAGGTCTCCCTCCAGCCTGGCTCTGTCCATTTGTCCTGCTCCCAGCCTGTGCACCCATGGCTCTGTCCTCCGCCCCTGTTCAGCTCAGCCATCATTTGCTCCTGGTTTCCTCCTCCAGACCTCCTCCAGACCTCCTCCAGACCTCCTCCCAGCCTGATCTGAACTCTTGTGACTAATTCCCTCTTTAACGTCTCAAACACACTCTGAACATCTCTCTGAGAGACATCTCCACTGACTCACTAACAACAGTATGATGTCATTATTCAGCAGCATTATTTATTTATTGTTTTTCACTTTAATTACATTTAGCGAACAGGTTTTAAACTCAGCACCGTGACATACACTGTGGGAATTTCACCTTAAAATAATCGGCAGACTTTTTCCTCTGATGACGTCAAACAGTTAAAGCGGAACGAAAAGCTGCCGCTGTCGGACCTCTGACGGTGTGACACCACCGGAAGTAAACAATAGAAGAGCTGGTAGCGTTAGCGTCATCTGTGATCGGTTATTACCGCGAGTCTCAGCGCTGATAATCAGATCAGATCTGATCAGACCATCATCATGTCCTCTGTAGAGTATCTGAGGGAGTTTGTGTCCGAGCGGCTGACTGCTGCCGCCGAGGAGATCTTCAGGGTCTTTAAGAGCACCATCATGGAGTATGAGGAGGAGATCCACCGTCAGAGGAGGCTGCTGGACAACATCTGGAAACCTACAGGCGAGTCTGACCTGTATTTAAGTAACATCTGGAAACCTACAGGTGAGTCTGACCTGTATTTAAGTAACATCTGGAAACCTACAGGCGAGTCTGACCTGTATTTAAGTAACATCTGGAAACCTACAGGTGAGTCTGACCTGTATTTAAGTAACATCTGGAAACCTACAGGCGAGTCTGACCTGTATTTAAGTAACATCTGGAAACCTACAGGCGAGTCTGACCTGTATTTAAGTAACATCTGGAAACCTACAGGCGAGTCTGACCTGTATTTAAGTAACATCTGGAAACCTACAGGCGAGTCTGACCTGTATTTAAGTAACATCTGGAAACCTACAGGCGAGTCTGACCTGTATTTAAGTAACATCTGGAAACCTACAGGCGAGTCTGACCTGTATTTAAGTAACATCTGGAAACCTACAGGCGAGTCTGACCTGTATTTAAGTAACATCTGGAAACCTACAGGCGAGTCTGACCTGTATTTAAGTAACATCTGGAAACCTACAGGCGAGTCTGACCTGTATTTAAGTAACATCTGGAAACCTACAGGCGAGTCTGACCTGTATTTAAGTAACATCTGGAAACCTACAGGCGAGTCTGACCTGTATTTAAGTAACATCTGGAAACCTACAGGCGAGTCTGACCTGTATTTAAGTAACATCTGGAAACCTACAGGCGAGTCTGACCTGTATTTAAGTAACATCTGGAAACCTACAGGCGAGTCTGACCTGTATTTAAGTAACATCTGGAAACCTACAGGCGAGTCTGACCTGTATTTAAGTAACATCTGGAAACCTACAGGCGAGTCTGACCTGTATTTAAGTAACATCTGGAAACCTACAGGCGAGTCTGACCTGTATTTAAGTAACATCTGGAAACCTACAGGCGAGTCTGACCTGTATTTAAGTAACATCTGGAAACCTACAGGCGAGTCTGACCTGTATTTAAGTAACATCTGGAAACCTACAGGCGAGTCTGACCTGTATTTAAGTAACATCTGGAAACCTACAGGCGAGTCTGACCTGTATTTAAGTAACATCTGGAAACCTACAGGCGAGTCTGACCTGTATTTAAGTAACATCTGGAAACCTACAGGCGAGTCTGACCTGTATTTAAGTAACATCTGGAAACCTACAGGCGAGTCTGACCTGTATTTAAGTAACATCTGGAAACCTACAGGCGAGTCTGACCTGTATTTAAGTAACATCTGGAAACCTACAGGCGAGTCTGACCTGTATTTAAGTAACATCTGGAAACCTACAGGCGAGTCTGACCTGTATTTAAGTAACATCTGGAAACCTACAGGCGAGTCTGACCTGTATTTAAGTAACATCTGGAAACCTACAGGCGAGTCTGACCTGTATTTAAGTAACATCTGGAAACCTACAGGCGAGTCTGACCTGTATTTAAGTAACATCTGGAAACCTACAGGCGAGTCTGACCTGTATTTAAGTAACATCTGGAAACCTACAGGCGAGTCTGACCTGTATTTAAGTAACATCTGGAAACCTACAGGCGAGTCTGACCTGTATTTAAGTAACATCTGGAAACCTACAGGCGAGTCTGACCTGTATTTAAGTAACATCTGGAAACCTACAGGCGAGTCTGACCTGTATTTAAGTAACATCTGGAAACCTACAGGCGAGTCTGACCTGTATTTAAGTAACATCTGGAAACCTACAGGCGAGTCTGACCTGTATTTAAGTAACATCTGGAAACCTACAGGCGAGTCTGACCTGTATTTAAGTAACATCTGGAAACCTACAGGCGAGTCTGACCTGTATTTAAGTAACATCTGGAAACCTACAGGCGAGTCTGACCTGTATTTAAGTAACATCTGGAAACCTACAGGCGAGTCTGACCTGTATTTAAGTAACATCTGGAAACCTACAGGCGAGTCTGACCTGTATTTAAGTAACATCTGGAAACCTACAGGCGAGTCTGACCTGTATTTAAACTACATCTGGAAACCTACAGGCGAGTCTGACCTGTATTTAAACTACATCTGGAAACCTACAGGCGAGTCTGACCTGTATTTAAACTACATCTGGAAACCTACAGGTGAGTCTGACCTGTATTTAAACTACATCTGGAAACAAAATCATGGTAATAAAGTCCTGACGTGCTCAGATGAGTACTTTCTATTTAACGGCATTTTAGTTTGTTATTTTTGCTAGAATTGGTCAAATTTGTTGCCGTATCAGTCGACAGATAATCATACCAGTTTCAACCAAAAATTTTGATCAGCTTTTGTCCACTTTTGTCTCGGGATCAGCTGCAGACTGACTCGGCAGAGATGGCGGCCATCTTGTTTTTCCGTGGATGACGACGATGAGTACGAGTACGAGTACAGTGTAATGTGGTCTCATTACCACTAGATGGCACAGAAAGCGTCCACAGACGAGGACAAAGATCTGAGCAAAGCAGAATGAAGTATAAGGTGCAGCAGACACTAAATGTGATGTCCTCATGAGGACACAGGGTCTCAGAACATTAATGAAGCACCAGAGACGTCTCAAACGCTGGACGTCATCAGTCACATGGTTGTCCTCCTTTAATACAACCTGACACAGTGATGAAACACAAGTATCATCCGTCTCCATTAAACACGTCCATCGTCATACATGTCTAACATGTCTTTTTTTTGTTGTGTCCCCTCAGAGCTCCCACAGCAGAGTGTCTGTAAGGAGGAGGAGGAGGTTCAGGAGAGGAGCTCCACTGTGGACCAGGAGGACCCCGAGCCTCCACACATCAAAGAGGAACAGGAGGAGCTGTGTAAGGAGGAGCTGGTCCTGAAGCAGGAGACAGATGCGTTTATATGGAACCCTTCATACGAGGACAGCGAGCATGACGAGGATCAGACGGTGACCTTCAGTCCTGATGAGACGGCAGAGGACGAGTCTGGAGGACACATCCCCAGTATTAGCTTTGTGTTAACAGATCCAAACAGAGAGCAGCAGCTCCGTCCCCACAGCTCCCATCAGCCTGAGAGACAGAGGCACACAGGAGGCGGGGACGGAGACGCGGGGTCAACCAGAGACGCAGATGCACAACCAAAGACTCAACATCACATCAACCAAAGTCACAGCAACAACATGGCCAACATGTCGGGGACATACCACCACACAGGGAAGAAGTCCTTCAGGTGTGACACCTGTGGGAAGGACTATAAGTACAGGTCCCTGCTGCAGAGACACCTGAGGACACACACAGGTGAGAAGCCATTCACCTGTAAGATCTGCGGGAAAGGTTTAAAGAGCAGCACGACACTGACCGTCCACATGAGGACGCACACCGGAGAGAAGCCGTACGTCTGTAAGATCTGCGGGAAGAGATTCTGTGATGTGTCGGCGCTCATCGTCCACATGAGGATCCACACAGGTGAGAAGCCATACACCTGTAACACCTGTGGGAGGGCCTTCAGACTGGGCGGTGACCTGACCGTCCACATGAGGACGCACACAGGCGAGAAGCCATATGTTTGCAAGATCTGCGGGAAGAGATACGTCGGCGCATCCAATCTGGCGAGACACATAAGATCACACACGGACAAGTAGTGTCATCAACACATCAGCTGGTTCACACACACAGAGGTCACACAGGTGAGGAGACACACCTGAGACACCTGTGGAACAAAGTTTGACTCAAGTCTGATTCATGAAGAAGAAAAAACACCTGAGGAACACCTGACAGGACGAACACCGAGCTGACGCTGCTGCAGAGGCGAGCTCACCTGAAGGACACACTTCACAGCAGAGAGGTGGACTCAAGTCACATGACTGAGTCACATGACTGGACTCGAGTCACATGACTGAGTCACATGACTGGACTCAAGTCAGATTCAAGTCACAAGTTTGATGACTTTAATAATGATAAACTTTATTCATAGAGCACGTTTCATAAAGAGATGCAGCTCAAAGTGCTTCACAGTAAAGATGCAAAACAAACGCAACTAGAGTTACTGCCCCTTGGTTGTATGACTCCGCCCACCTCAAACGAGACGATAATAAAGTCCTGACATCCTCAGACGAGACAATAGTAAAGTCCTGACGTCCTCAAACGAGTGAATAGTAAAGTCCTGACGTCCTCAAACGAGTGGATAGTAAAGTCCTGACGTCCTCAGATGAGTGGATAGTAAAGTCCTGACGTCCTCAGACGAGACGATAGTAAAGTCTCGATGTCCTCAGATGAGTGGATAGTAAAGTCCCAACGTCCTCAGATGAGACAATAGTAAAGTCTTGACGTCCTCAAACGAGACGATAGTAAAGTCCTGACATCCTCAGACAAGAGGGTAGTAAAGTCTTGACGTCCTCAGACGAGAGGATAGTAAAGTCCCGAAGTCCTCAGACGAGACGATAGTAAAGTCTTGACGTCCTCAGACGAGACGATAGTAAAGTCCTGACGTCCTCAGACGAGACGATAGTGAAGTCCTGACGTCCTCAAACAAGTGGATAGTAAAGTCCTGACGTCCTCAAACGAGACGATAGTAAAGTCCTAATGTCCTCAAACGAGTGGATAGTAAAGTCCTAATGTCCTCAAACGAGTGGATAGTAAAGTCCTGACGTCCTCAAACGAGTGGATAGTAAAGTCCTGACGTCCTCAGACGAGAGGATAGTAAAGTCCCGAAGTCCTCAGACGAGACGATAGTAAAGTCTTGACGTCCTCAGACGAGACGATAGTAAAGTCTTGACCTCCTCAAACGAGACAATAGTAAAGTCCCGAAGTCCTCAGACGAGACGATAGTAAAGTCTTGACGTCCTCAGACGAGACGATAGTAAAGTCTTGACATCCTCAAATGAGACGATAGTAAAGTCCTGACGTCCTCAGACGAGACGATAGTAAAGTCCTGACGTCCTCAAACGAGTGAATAGTAAAGTCTTGACGTCCTCAAACGAGACGATAGTAAAGTCCCGAAGTCCTCAGACGAGACGATAGTAAAGTCTTGACATCCTCAAACGAGATGATAGTAAAGTCTTGACGTCCTCAAACGAGACGATAGTAAAGTCCTGACGTCCTCAAACAAGTGGATAGTAAAGTCCTGATGTCCTCAAACGAGTGGATAGTAAAGTCCTGACGTCCTCAAACAAGACGATAGTAAAGTCCTAATGTCCTCAAACGAGTGGATAGTAAAGTCCCGACGTCCTCAGACGAGACGATAGTTAAGTCCTGACGTCCTCAAACGAGTGGATAGTAAAGTCCTGACGTCCTCAAACGAGACGATAGTAAAGTCCTAATGTCCTCAAACGAGTGGATAGTAAAGTCCCGATGTCCTCAGACGAGAAGATAGTTAAGTCCTGACGTCCTCAAATGAGTGGATAGTAAAGTCCTGACGTCCTCAGACGAGACGATAGTAAAGTCCCGACATCCTCAGACGAGATAATAGTAAAGTCTTGACGTCCTCAGACGAGAGGATAGTAAAGTCCCGAAGTCCTCAGACGAGACGATAGTAAAGTCTTGACGTCCTCAGACGAGACGATAGTAAAGTCTTGACCTCCTCAAACGAGACAATAGTAAAGTCCCGAAGTCCTCAGACGAGACGATAGTAAAGTCTTGACGTCCTCAGACGAGACGATAGTAAAGTCTTGACATCCTCAAATGAGACGATAGTAAAGTCCTGACGTCCTCAGACGAGACGATAGTAAAGTCCTGACGTCCTCAAACGAGTGAATAGTAAAGTCTTGACGTCCTCAAACGAGACGATAGTAAAGTCCCGAAGTCCTCAGACGAGACGATAGTAAAGTCTTGACATCCTCAAACGAGATGATAGTAAAGTCTTGACGTCCTCAAACGAGACGATAGTAAAGTCCTGACGTCCTCAAACAAGTGGATAGTAAAGTCCTGACGTCCTCAAACGAGAAGATAGTAAAGTCCTGACGTCCTCAAACGAATGGATAGTAAAGTCCTGACGTCCTCAGACGAGACGATAGTAAAGTCCCGACGTCCTCAAACGAATGGATAGTAAAGTCCTGACGTCCTCAGACGAGACGATAGTAAAGTCCCGACTTCCTCAGACAAGAAGATAGTAAAGTCCCGACGTCCTCAAACGAATGGATAGTAAAGTCCTGACGTCCTCAAACGAGACGATAGTAAAGTCCCGACGTCCTCAAACGAATGGATAGTAAAGTCCTGACGTCCTCAGACGAGACGATAGTAAAGTCCCGACTTCCTCAGACGAGACGATAGTAAAGTCCCGACGTCCTCAAACGAGTGGATAGTAAAGTCCTGACGTCCTCAGACGAGACGATAGTAAAGTCCTGACGTCCTCAAACGAGTACTTTCTAACTAACACCGTTTTAGTTCATTACTTTGCTAAAATTGGTCAAATTTGTTGGCAAGAAATTGTCAAATTACAGATAAAAAAAACCCGAATACAACCGTAACACGTGATCAGGTTTTGTCCATTTCTGCCTCGGGATTGGCTGCAGACTGACTCGGCAGAGATGGCGGCCATCTTGTTTTTCCATGGATCAGTGTAATGTGGTTTTGCTGCCACTAGATGGCACAAAAAGAGTCCACGGACGAGGACAACAGGCATTAAGCAGATTGAAGTATAAGGAGCAGAGGACACTAAATGTGATGTCCTCATGTGAGGACGCAGGGTCACATTTGAAGACATTCCCTCATGGTGTTGTTGACATACTATGTTCACGAGAAAGGCGCGCATGGACCGACAACCTAAAAACATAATGTCTGCGGCCACAGGTATCTGTGATGCGGAGACGTGAAAAGGACGATAAGATGAGACAATAAAAAGACAGTTGATGATAAACAAAATAATAAAGTGAAGGTAGAGAGATCAGACACCAGTCAGAGCAGGAAATATTGTAGAATTAATATAAAAAAATTAAAAGAAAGACATTGATTAAAAGTCAGACGGCATAAAAAGGTTTAATAACATTCAGTTTTGTAGCATCGTTTACAAAAAGCTGCTCCGCCTTTTTTCGTGTGTATAAATGTGTGTATTTCAAACCCATCATTCAGCAGATCTGAGAGCTGCCAAATGATGATTGGACGACAGAGTCTGTGACATCAGCTGGTCCCAAACCTTTAAACTTTAAACACAAGTCAGAGAGCGTTAACATGTGCTCTCAGAGACACACGGAGCCGGCGAGACGCAGCTGGAACCAGGTCATATGTTCTGTCTTCATTGTTTGTTATGCTGAAATGTTTCATGTTTGGACAGACGGTATAAAGAAATAATCTCGTGTTTAAAATAAACGTTTTTCTGCATCTTTACAGGAACGGACCTGCTGATGTTTCTGACGTGGTAAAACGCTTCTCAGTCACGTCTTTATGTGTGAAATCAAATTTAAATCTGAATTTAAACTCAATTTGAAAAAAAATCAAGACTTCGAACCTGACTCGAACTTTAACCCCAGTGACTCGTGACTTCACCTGGACCTCAGCCTTTTGACTTGAAAACACCTGATAACGTATTTCCAAATTGTTACACAATTCAAATTAATTTCCCTTCACTTCCTGAATTACTAATGTTAATGTTAAATTTTTCCATTCAGTCGACACTTAATGATCCATTTTGTTTGAGCCAATCTGACATCATCCAATCAGGTTGCAGGACAGAACCATGAGAAACTAACGCCACGTTACTGAGCGCCAGCAAGAAAAAATGAAGGATCATTTCAGTCATGTATGAAAACTATGTTATGGGAAAAAACAAAACAAACTGCAGTGCATAAAATATCAAACATCACAGACGGAGACGCAACAACTTCCAACTTTGTTAGACGTGAAGATAAACAGAGAACAGCAGGTGGAGGCTAATAATAACAAAGTTAACAAGCTAATGCTAAGCTAATGTTAGCTTCAGCTTCAATTCAGTTAAATTCAACAGAACTTTATTTATCCCAAAGGAAATTCTCGTGCATATTACAGTAACAACAATAAACATTATTGTTATAAAACAATAAACAAGTTAAATATCTGTCAAAATATTCAATATATAGATAAATAGATAGATAGATAGATAAAGTGTTTAAGGAGCAAAAAGCAAAAACCAGTGTCTGATAGAGAAACAACAGAAGAAGTAAAAGAGTTACTAAAGATGAACTGAAATGGTGGAAAGAGATGAACTGCAGTTGTCATGGTGATATTGAACATGATGCAGTTCATCCTGTCACAGTGCTGCTGATGGAGGTGAGTGGTGACGTAGCTCAGCAACATTTTAACACGTAAATTCAAAGTTTAAAAAACATTTACAATCGTTGCACATTTAATATATATTTACAGGTCACAGTGATAAACTGGGTTTAATGTATCAGTGATATAAAGGTTATCATACTGTGTACATTTGATTATCTATGATGTTAAAAAACAACTGACGGAGAGTCTCAACTTTGAGTGTTTTTAAAGAGACTTTTTATATGAACGTCCATGAACCAAAACAAAGTGTGACGAAAGGCTGCAGCTCAACTCTCAACTTGATTTTACTTTTTACACAAACTTTAATTTGAAAAATGTTTCAGTTACACTAATAAAATGTTTGTTGAACCAACAATAACTTTGTGTTCTCACTCCTGTAAAGCTTCAGTCTGACTGATGGTGAGGACGAATCATCTGTGACAGTTATCTGTCTGTCCCTCTGTCTGTCCCTCTGTCTGTCCCTCTGTCTGTCCCTCTGTCTGTCCCTTTGTCTGTCCCTCTGTCTGTCCCTTTGTCTGTCCCTCTGTCTGTCCCTTTGTCTGTCCCTCTGTCTGTCCCTCTGTCTGTCCCTCTGTCTGTCCCTTTGTCTGTCCCTCTGTCTGTCCCTTTGTCTGTCCCTCTGTCTGTCCCTCTGTCTGTCCCTTTGTCTGTCCCTCTGTCTGTCCCTCTGTCTGTCCCTTTGTCTGTCCCTCTGTCTTGTCCTGTCTTAATCTCTAAAGACAGATTCTTTAATTTATATAAATAAAGGAAGGGAAAAAAAACATCCTATTTTTTTTTAACCAATGGATTTCTGGTCTGTGTTGGAGTGTGTGTGTGTGTGTGTGTGTGTGTGTGTGTGTGTGTCACTCCTGTATGAGTCTCTATGGAAACACAGTGTGACTGTACGTGCTGATATAAACACACTGCAGCAAGAGGAGGAGGAGGAACCTCTGTTTCTGTGTTCCTACCCGGACCCTGTTTGCAGACACACCGTTGCCATTGGATGCAGCAGCAGCTTCTCTGCGGTAACTCCGGTGCTAATGATGCTAACAGCAGCTAACCTGTCAAACAAGAGACAACAAACGTCACAGTTTATATTCTGACGCGTTAACACTCGGTTGTAGTGACGTCACCACATCGGTAAACTGTAGCTAGGTACGAGGGTTTTTTAAATCTAGCAGGAGCTAACGGTAGCTAGCAGCAGGATTAGCTGTGTCAGCAGTCTGGGCATTTAGTTAGCTGACCGGCGGCTAACAGCTGTTAGCTCCTCTGTGTATGTGAACGGAGATTCTCCGGTTGTTTTACAGACTCGGTGAATGTACGGGAGCCGACAGGGACACCGGAGGAGGAGGTCAGCACCGGAGGAACCAGCCGGTACTAAAGTTCAACTGTGAGTGTGTTTACTGTCTACACAGCACTGAGTTAAACCAGCTCACCTGAACGTCTCACCAGCCTCGCCTCAACATCAAACTCTGGTTTTCCTTATCTTATCTTATCTTATCTTATCTTATCTTATCTTATCTCAAACATTAAACCACCCCCATATTCAGGAGCCAGCTGCACAAAACATTTAACAGTTACCTCCTTAAAGTTTGTTACTTAAGGCTTAATTTGTCCTTACCTGAGGGACTTACTCAAAAGTGTTGCACAGAATGCTTTCAAAGGTTTCCTTAAAAATGTTAAGGCAGTAGAATTCAACAGTTTCCATGGCAACCATTTGTTTGCTTGCAGTAGTGATATCTGAGGTGTTTGTGCAACAGTTAAGCTAACTTTAAGGAATTCCTTACTTATAAGACTGAAGATGCAGAAAAATTTGTCCATGCTTTTGTTACCTCTAGGCTGGATTACTGTAACTCTCTATTATCAGGTAGCTCTAGTAAGTCCTTAAAAACTCTCCAGCTAATTCAGAATGCAGCAGCACGTGTACTAACAGGAACTAAGAAACAAGATCATATTTCTCCTGTTTTAGCTT